CAACCCAAACCACTCTATGATTCTATGATACTATAAGAAGTGCAGAACTCTGGGGTGAAAGGAGCAAAAGAACAGTAATAATAAAAAAATTACATCCTGACATCCTTTTCATGGAACAGGCACAGATTTAAAAAAAAAATAAGAACCACATACAAGAGAGGCCTTGTAATACACTCATAGGTGTTCGTGATGCAGATCATTGTGGCACCCAGGATGTCAGAAACGATCCAAAATCCTCTAATTGGAGCAGGTTGCCTGAAGGGAGGAGAACACAAGAATTACCAGGTCAAGAAAAGGCCTTTGTTCCTGAAGTTGTGCAAATTCACTCTTTTGGAAAAGCTTTATCTACAGCAATCGGCCTAAGCCAGACCCCTTGCACTGAGCTAAGAACCACTCCCCAGAACGAGTCCTGCAAAATAATTACTCTTACACCCCACGATCTGACTGGCAGTCAGATGTACCAGGACAAACTCATCCAGCTGGAGAGAGGAAGCACTTGTGCAACTTGACTGTGACAGAAAGCAAAACCCGGCTGTGCCCCAGGAAACACTGCCCGCTTCTAGCGAGGGCACGGACCTCCAGAGGAGAGCACGCAGGTGCTCTGCAGGCCACCTTGGTGGTCCAAATGCCCTCTGCCCAGGTAACTGCTAACACCAGTGGAAAGTCACCATCTGTGCTGGCTTAGGGAACCCTTTAGATGACTCAGCACCTATTAATAAACAGTTTTTCTGTATTTTCCTACTGTTTAATACATAGCAATCCACAGATATGATTAGGCCTCAAAAAAAGTGAAAAATAAAGCATACAGACAAAGGTGTATTACATAGCCCAGCAAATGATGCCTCTTAAGCCTGACTAAGCTCAAAAAATACCAGATGTTCTCTCGAGGCATTGTTTAAAAGGAACATGTCAGCATTCGGGACCCTTAGCCAAACCAAGCCTCAGAGTTGTCTGGGGTCAAGTAAATGGAAGTGGCAATTTCTGCTGGTTTGACAGATGATTTTCAGACTTCCCTATGCTTCCCTAACTGTGCATAAAGAATCCTGATGCACCAATTATTTATTTGTATTATTTGAATTCTTTTGAGCTGACTTCATTATTTTTAATGGCAAGAAAGCTGCAAAAAGAGGGCAAATCATAAATACTTTCCATAGCAACTCACTGATTTGGAAGCAATAGAAAGGGTTTGGTTTTTACCTGCATGGCAACGGTTTTGTACAAAGAATGTGTTCAACAAAGCACTTCTGTTCTGCTCCCAACTCTTGTAAACTGTCTTTGTCTTCTTCATCTACAAAGAGATTTGTCACAAAGCATGAGCTCCGCTTTGCAGGGTAAGGGATTCTCAGTATCATCCGCATCCGCCAACTCGTTACTAGCAAAAGGCAGGTGTGCAGGGGTGTTCTCGCCCCTCTACATGCAGCAGAGCCTCGCCACTCACCTGAGCCAAGGAATTTGTGCAGTTTATTGATCCACGTCAGCCCGACGCTATGGACACCAGCTTCGTGTGTGCAGTGGTATCGAGAGGGACATTTCGGATCTGAAATGTAAACAGCCAAAGAAAGAGAAGGCTCTGAACTGAGAAAAAAATCATGCTGCAAACCTGCATTGTTGAACACTTTAATGCTGACTGGACTTTACATAGACTGCAACATCTTGTTGCAAGTAATAACTCGTCCCCATCCAAGACCTGAGCTAGATGCGTTAGCCACATTATTCGAGTTCTGCAGACAATTAAATTATGCTTGAAACACCTGATGAAGTGTTTTGGACTATTCCTCTCACACCACGCCTGTATCAATCCACTAGATTTTTAAAGGGAAGATCAGGTAAAGCCAACAGACCAGCATTCTGACAAGCTGCTTATTCAAAAAGACCCAAACTCTTTGTCCTACCCAAGCTCCTGCCCCATACTTGCATCAAATAGTCCCATAAGAAGATACCCATTCTTCCTGCAGGATCACCACCCCACAGCACTTGCTTACATACTTAGGTCATCACAGACACAACACCCGCTACTTTATAATCCACAGCTGAAAGAATTTAGTATTATGTGACCAAATGTAATCTGCCCTTGAGTAAACACTAGAGCACCTCCCAAGCTTGCTCTTCCCAAAGCTTTATTGAAGACATCAGGCAAATCCTTATTCCAATACCACTGTTTGCTTGACACCAATGATAATTTGTAAATAGCTTGATCCTAAATGCATGAAATAAAGCAAGTAAAAAACAACAACCTGAACAACAACCCTACCTCGATGCAATTTGATTGGGCAAGAGAAATCGGACTCCAAAGGCTCTTCTTCATCTCCTGATGCCACTTTCAATGCAAGTTCCAGCTCAACACATTCAAACACATACAGGGAAGGAATAAGATCAGATCTTGGGTCCCACGACTTTTCTGACTGTAAAGAACATTGAATTCTTCTGTGAGACATCATTCAAATAGAAACGCTAACATAAGCAGCATCAAGAAAGAGTTACATAATATAGGGCAAGAGTATTAATTGTCAGGGAAAGTAGTTCCCTTTTTTTCCCTTTTTTACTTAAAAAAAATTAGCTGAGAAACAGGGTTTCTTCTCAGAAGACCCTCCTTAAAATAGTCCATAGCAAGTTTGATCAAAAACTGATCTACCAACAGGATACACAGAACTGACATTTAAAATAAAAGCATTAGAGATTCACAGGAACTGGCTGGAATAGGAGGAAGACTCACTACCTCATTATAAAAGAATGCAGCTGTGGCACTTGACATTCCCTTCGAGGCATCCTGCCATCTTGCAGCCAGGAACTTTGACTAAAGAAACAAAAATACATATGGAAATAAACCAAGACGAGGTACCTGCTCATCATCCTCTTCTCCATCGAGTACCACACAGTGATAAAGCATTCCCGACTCGGTGGCAATCACCAGGATGTTTGGAACACAAGGCAGGCAAAGGACAGCACAGGCATCGTAGCCATAGTTATCTTCTGCAGCAGGGTGCATGGGCAGAGGGCCAAGCAGCTTGCCAAGGTTTCCACTGCTGGAATAAAGAAGATGTGTTCACAACACAAGGTGTGGAATGGCAGTTACCCATGGCCTGCGGGAGTTTGGTGCACAGTAACTACAAAATAAAGATGATTTAAAAAAGCACCCAAACCCCCATGGTTGGAGTTCTGTTTCATTTCCATTAGATAGTA